CATGACTGAATCAGTGTTCCAGCATGTACCAAATGAAATCCTCATTCTTTGAAAATACATATATACATCCCTTTCAAAGCTCTTATTTCAATAAGCCATTAATTTCTGGGTTAGACTGTGTGTTAAAGTGCCAAAAAATTCATTGACAAGGATGATATATTTCATTCAAAACAAGTAAACCTAGCAGGAAAAAAATAACATCTTTAGCCTGAAGAAATCTTTCTAACACTTGTTTGTAATCCCTTTGGTTAAAAGGAATACATTCATGCTTTTTATCCAACATTTCAGAAAAAGAAGCCGACAAAACCACTGAAAATATTTCCATCCACTTCAATGATTCAGAAAATCCAATGAACGTAACAAAAATCCTTTTAAAATCTCTATTCAAACCAAACCTTCTAGGATGCATTTAGCACCTGCAACGACACTGAGAAACTGTGACTGAAGGGTCTGTGGACCCAGCAAGTGCTGTTAACCATGTCGTGCTGCTGGAAACTGAGGCACAGAGACTAGGAGCCTGTTCATATTCATCAAACATAGAGATTTTTATTATTTTTTTTAGCTGTTTCTAAATGATGATCTATCACACGCACACATTTCTTTGACACTAGAAGAAAGGTAGCTCAATAAGTTACTTGGTATGTCTCCCATTCAACTCTAAGTGCTCATCTTTAGAAGTCTCCCGCAGCTCCCAGGGAATTGGCAGCTAATGAAGTCAAAGAAATACTGGGGTTCATTAAGCACGCAAGCACTCTGCTGAAAATCAAAGATCAGCCTGGTACCCCTTGAACATATCATAGTTACCATTAAAAATCATCATAGTATTTGAGGTTAGTAAAACATATTGCTTAGGCTATAAAACATTCTAAACTAGTATCCCAAATGTCTTGCCTCAAGCAAGCACTTAAATTAAAGTTTCAGACAGCTGGCACTGGAATCAAAATAACAGTTTTGCACAAAGAGATTGGATAAACATGATTATTGTTTTCATAATTTATTTTGTCAATGCGCAGCATCGTGCCTCGATCCATCCTTTGTACTTGGGCATGATTTCTCTCTTTTCAACAGGTAACTATATATTTCATGTGGATTTTTACAGAAAACAATCCCAACTGATCTGCTGCTCTTGAATAATCTAATCCCTAATTAGTTGAGTCTGAACACTAAAAAGGCAGTATTGTGCGCTTTAATTAATTTCCATAATCTGGAATTTTTGTCTGCTTGCCTCATGAGATTGTTTGGTTTTCAAGGAGTCTAACACAACAATATCACTTCTTCACCTGTGAAAAGGATGGCAGTGTTCTGGGTACTCAATACAGCACAACTGCAACAAACCCATAGGTCTTAATTAAGACTAAACCCACTTCCTATTTACCTCCAGTGACGATTTTAAAATGCTCTTTCTGCATTTATTCCTCGTCTCTTCCATGTTCTGAACATGGTTTGCTCCCCTTCAAGTTCCTTAAGCACAGACCTTCCAACCATGCAACATGATTTAAAGTATAGGAATATAGTGCCAGAAATCCTATGCAGCTACCTCTTACATAAACACACATTTTCAGACACAGATCCCCCAAACATTTCACATTTAAAACTCTCTTCCAAAGCCAAAACGTGGCTTCTTGAACAAATCTCAGAAAGATTTCTGCAGTATTTTATCCACGTGGTTAGCCAAGAAAAGATCTTCTCTCGAAATCATCAAATCGTGACACACACAAAAGGAACCGCAGTTAGGAGAAGCTCCAGCTTCGCAGGCATAGAAAAGCCTTGCCACATTGCTGGAGTGTAAAACCATTGTCATGATTCACATTGCTTTCTGCTACCGTTCTGCAACTACTTTTTAAAGAAACGTTATAAAATGTTCAGAAGGATTCGAGTTTTGACAACTACTTTTCTTGTAGACCCCTTTGAATATTGTCACTGCAGATCTCTCACCTAAATGAGAGTCTAAACCCTTGCCTTGACGGGAACTGAGCTCCTGTGCTTCAGTTCACACAGCTGTAAAGTGGAGATATATTTCTATATTTTATATTTTATATATTCACTGCTTCACAGGGCTGTTCTGGAGCACATATAAATTGCTTTGACTCATTCTGTTGAAAGTATCCCACAGACAAAACAGATCTTTCTCACAAACATAAATTAGGAATTATCTCCCTTGTACTCAGAAGGGTTAGTGTAAATTATTACACGTGCGGGACTGAGAGCAAAACTTGTCCCTGTTTATGCAAACTACTTCTATGGTTTCTGCTAGCATCAAAGGGGGTGAGCTGTTCCAGCAATCGAGGTTGCCCTTTGCTTTCTCACCTTGTGGGAATTCTTGTGGAGCTGTGACCACCAGGGCCTCAGAAGATGGAATCAACCTTTCAGCTTCAGGAGAAAACCCATTTCCTACCACCTGTGCCCTAACCAGACCTCAACTGGTCTCAGCTCTCCAGAGGTCAGCACATTAGGACACTGTCCCATTGCATGCAGAATTTCATGCACTATTCAGAGGAGGAACAAGATGCAGAAAACGCTAGAAATTTGCCAATACTGATGTTTAGCTCCTCTCTTTCCTTCCTTGAACATATCTCTGCTGCTTTTAATTAAGTTCTCAGATTCATAGCTCGGAGATCTTTAATAACTACAGAAAGTGCTTGCAAGGCAAATTTTTCACTTCTAAGAAGGATGGTTATAATAAATGCTACCCTCTAATTTATAGGTAAACTTAACCTGATTTTACCTTTATCGCAATACATTGCATGGCCATTTTCGTGCAATAGACTGATGACATAAAAGATTTTAACTTTTAATAAATGGTGAAAACGTTGGATGGTATGCCTCCAACACACTGTAAGTATAGTGCCTGCTGATTAATTAATCTAATTAACAAAGGTGAAGGTTTATAATTGGGGTTAACTAGAATTTAACTGGTCATTGTTCATACCCCCCACTGCATTGTCCCCTAAGTAACTCACTCTGGTAGCCCTCCACGGTCCCTCGACCCCAACTTCAAATCCAGGGATCAACCAGCTTGAAGGAAAAGTATATACAATCACATTTCCAAGACTGTAATAACAGCAGAACTTAATGGTGTGATATTTTTATACTGTTTGGGAAAGAGACCCTATTTTTTCTTACTCATAAGCCCAGAGTATTTTTAAATAGTTCAAGTCCCTGTAGTACTTCACAGTTTGCAGCGCAGTTTAAAAAGTAATACATCTTTTCTTAGATGTACCCCAGATTCTGCCTTTTAATAGACATGATAATGAGATTCTGTGTCTTCATTTCCCAGTGTGCAGAAAGCTCAAATAAATCTTTGATTGTTCACAACCCTGGAGAAGGCTCCCAAGCCCAGGAATGTAATGATGTTTCTCTAAACAATCATTGCTAATGAAATTTAAGTGTATTTAAAATATATAGATGTTTGTGTGTATATATATTAGTACTATCGGAATTGCTTTTTATTCCTTTTACTTTGTAAATTTGTATCTGTCTGCAGTAAACTTAGCTCTCAAGGGATTCGTTGCTAGGAGAAAGGAAGTCCCAAGTTATTTCACTGACCTGCAAGACACACATTGAACTTCTGCTTTTGAGTGAACTTTTAAAGCGTTAGAAGAGCCACTTGGTGACTTTTTCATAAGATTAGGGACTGCATCCCTAGACCTCTATCAAATGCATCAGAGAGCAGAATGCAGCCCAACTGTGCAGTGTTGGAAGGACGTCATAAGCTCAGACCTCACAAGGTTCAGGAAAACATCACCCAATATCAGTCAAAAGACACAGATAAACCTCTGCTTGCCTGTACGTGATCCGGACACCTCTGAACCTCTTTGTCACAAGTGTAACACTCTGGTTTCCTTTGGCTACTTGAGGTGCTCAAGTAACTACTTCCCAAAATAGGGAACAGTTTTACAGGAAGGGAAATTGAACAACCATCAGCATTTACCTGTTGAGTCATCATTCTGCACAGACTGCTGAATACAATTATTGATGTTCAGCAAAGACAAATATAACATACTCGTGCTCGGGAAAAAATGCTAATGCCTTACACCTTCAGTCATTGTTAAATTCGCTTTGAAGGGAATCCAGACTTAACAACATTGCTTGTTTTATTTCAGGCTACCATTGTTACCATAACACTTCCAGTTTGTTTTCACTCCTTTTGCATGTATCAGCTGTTTTCTCCTGAAAATTTATATCTCACATTCCTGAGTATTACCAAAAAGTTACACTCTTCAGAAAGGTTGCAGTAAAAGCATTTACATTATCATGCAATCTATGTCACAAAGAGGCCTGACAAGACTTTGGATATCACCAACTTCTAGAAGTTATAGCATAAAGAGACTAAGAGAAAATACCAAATTAAAATATCATCTGTAGGCAGAAAAGAACCCTGAACACATAAGGTGGAAGAAGAAAGCATAGGGAAAGCTCTGTAGACTTCCCTCCCTAGAGGCCTGCAAATCCCAAGCAGCATCTACCATGGCCATTTCATTCCCACATTCTCAGTCTCAGGTGGAGATTAGTAGTGTGAATTCATTGATTAGCCCCACCATCACTCAGTTCTCATGTTTTTTTCCTTACCTCTCCTTTCCACCACTGAACACAATCTTTAGAAATCACATCTACAAACACTTTCTCGATCAGAAAATAATTCCCTCCTCCTCATAGATTTAAGTACATTTTGTAGGTAGTTGCAGTATATATTTTCTCATAAGTAAGTTTTCCTTTCCAAGTACAAAAATTCTCACTATAGGACTTAGTGCTGAGCTACTGTTCTTGGTTCTAATGCAAAGAGAGCCAGACCCTTAGCGGGAGCGAGCAGGCATTACCTTACAGCCTCTGTTACACCTTCACCTGTGAAGAGGCTGCCTTTAGCCACAACAGTCTTTCAGATGCTTTTGGCATAAATAGTGTCTCTTTCTACTTAAACAGTAATAGACATCGAGACTCAGCAAGATCAAATCAAGGCTGTAGGCTTTACAGCAAGACTTAACAAGGTAGACAAGGATTACCTGTTAACCGGGAAACTGAAGAATACATTTCTTCAACCTTGGATAATGTTTCTTCCATTTCTTCATCCCTTTTCTTTTGTACGTGGCCTAAAAATGAACCAGAAAAAGGCAATCATGGAGGGGAGAAGAAAAAGGGTGAAAAAAAGAAAAAAAAAAGAAAAAAAAAAAGTACCCCAAAAGCCAGTTAGCCATTGGAAATCTGCTGGATAATCATAGGAGCCATAGCTAACTATTGCTTTCCAAGCCAATATGCCCTGAGAGTCTTGAACTCAGATATTCCAAGGCAGCTAAGTTAAGGCCCCATCCTATCTGGCAAGCAGCTGCAGCCTCTTGTTAATTAACAGCATATTCCTGACTTGGTCCAGCTTGTATGGATGAGAAGGTGTTTCCCAAGGAAATCAGAGTAGGAATAGAATAGGGGAAAAGGGGGAAAAAAAAAGAAGAAAAAAAAAAAAAGAAGAAGAAAAAAAAGAAAAAAAAAAAAGGTGAGTTCAGGAGGGCAATGAGGCGGGGGTTAACAACGCTGCTTAAGATCAAGGGCTGAAGTGCTGAGATGCTGCCAGACTTGAAAACTTTAATTTACTGTCACTGTTAGCCCCCTTTGAGGTTTATGGTGGTATTTATACACACAGCATCAATCACATGAAACAAGGAGGGGATTTATAGTTTGTTTTAAAGACTGCAAATGCAATGTAATGCAAATAGCATGCCTCATGGGCATTTACATTTAATGGGAAAATTACAGATGCAAAAGATTGGTAGAACAAATTTTAAATTGACTTTATTACATCTAGTGCTTTTCAGAGAATACTATTAAAAAAAACGCGAGGAGATATGGTAATGGAGTTCTACACTGTAGCTTGACAGCTTAAATTCCACTTAACTGACTTTGCTTGCATCTTTCTGTTTACATTACTTCTTCCAATGAGTTTGGCTGGCAAGATCTCTGGATCATAAACTGATTAGAAGCTTTGATTCTGTTTTGTTTCCTTTTTGGGGTTGGAATATTTAACGTGTAAAGCTGATTGTATCTTGCTAACTGTTTTTAACTAAGTTTTATCATCAGAATTTTTTAATGTAGATACAGTTAGGAACAGCTCTTTGAATCTATTATCACCTTTATATGTGACCATACATACATAGTCCTTAATTTGTATAAGCTTCCTATATTTCCTCTTTATCTCTATAGATAGAACAGAAAGAGATGGCTGCATTACTTTGCTCGATGATGGAGCAAACATTCAGAACTAATCTCAGCTACTTATGGAAAGCCCATTCTTTCTCAAAAAACAGGTTTATTTCCCAGTATTCCCTTGTGGCTGCAAACACTTCTCCTGGAATGAAGAGCATTTGCTGTTGCAATTGAAGGTTGTTATCATCATTTGTTGACTTATGGTAGATCCATCTGAAAGGTGTTGGTGGGTCTCCAGCTCACCTTCAGCAGACCAGATGAAGCCCTGGTTCAAACAGGTGCAACTGTACTTGCTTCAGGGAAGCTGTGCCCAATTACACAAAGGCTGATTTAACACCCTATAATGATTGCTATATTCCCATCCCATTCAGGTCTCAAATGAGCAAATAATTGAAGGTGTTTCTTAAGCCCATTCCAATTGAGTGAAGATTGAAGCACATGTGTTGTTTTTAGTCTGTTTTGCAGCCAGCAGCAGAGCAGCCTCTCTACATGCTGAGACCTGCTTTAAGATGGTAGAAGCCTTCCGCCCTTTGTTCCTTCAGATTTCCAAATCTTTGCTGTCACACAACATAACACCCGTGAAAATGCTTTACAGACCTGCTCATCATGCCATATTTTAGCCACAGCATAAGCAAATGATGATGTCACCTTTCAAGAGCATAAAGCATGTAGTCAAAGATTACTAGAGCTCAGCCTGTTAGGACTGCGTCTTTCCAAGATTTCAAGCAGAATCTCCCTGAAATGAATACCATCCTCTTTCTTTGCTTCTATTCATCATGATACATATGCATGTACCCTTGAGATACCCTATAAACTTGTTATCACCAAAAGGCCACGATTAAGAAAGGAGATGATTTGCTACCCATTAGTGACTCAATCAATTCTACTATAGTCAGTGAATATTTGTTATCGTCATCCACAAATACCCCTCCTGGATTTCTGTATCCCTATTTTCAGTTTCTGTAGGTCTCTCTTTCATCTTACAGAGTAATACCTTACAAGAAGACTTATAACAAACTATGTGACATCTCAGTGCATTTATTAGTGAGGAACTGAGTCAGAGCAATGTTTGCTCTTTGTCCGGTCCTGACAGATATATTCTCCAGGTGTTGTCACCCATAACAAACACATAATGGCAGAGAGCAGCCTATATTAACATTTGAGCTAATACAAACATGCACTGTTTAAGCAATTCACCTGAGATTGACTGCCTTGCCGTTGTGACTTTTGTTTAAGGTTGTAATCCCATGCGATGACATTCTCCTCTGCAGCAGTATGTTAGCAGCAGGCTTGGGAGTGTCACGATGATGAGGAAACCATAGGCTCCGGAAGCGAGAGCAGAAGTGAAACAAACTTTCACACTCAGAAACCATTAATGAAGTAAACACACTTGAACGTTGACAGGTAACTCACAAAGCCACCTACCAGTCTTGTTCCAAATCAAACCAACAATTACACACACACACACACACACCAAAAAAAAACAAACTATTTGTAAACAAAATTCGCAGTCATTTTTAAGTTAGATTATCGCATGCTGGCCATGCATCTAATGCCTGAGCAGACACAGGAATGTCAAAGTAGAGAAGGAAATGGCCTCTTTTCCACCAGCACAGCACACTCTGCATCCATTTTTATGTTTCTGATGATCCATAAAGAAAGTACATTTACTGCAAGGATGAACATCGTAATGGAGAATCCAAAGCCTTCAACACCACTAAATGTGGTTACATTTGCTTTAGGCACTGTGAGTATCGCAAGTATCACTGTTTTCAAGAAACTACTCATCAAGTTTAGCCATACCTGGAAGAATATAGACAGCTGAAGCTAAAATTGCAGTGCACAGAGACACATGCTGTCCCTATATTGACGGGTAACCATGTGCTCGTGTGGGATGAAGTGGAGAATTGCTTCTTGTTGTGGAAGGTTGTCGAGGCAAACATGCACAAATCACAATATTTGGACCAGTTTTGTAACCCACAAATGATGGGTTTCTGCAGAACTTAATGAAATGACGATTTAAACCCCCTCCCACTCCCAATTTATCTTTCAACAAGAATTAATATTTTTCCTGGAGATAAAAAAATAAAATATACTGACATGATATGTATCGAGACAGAAAAAAAGATATAAAAATATTGAGCCCCTTAAATTTCAAGTGCAATTGTCTTTCCTGGTAAACATTTTCCACATCTCCAAAAACAAACACTATTCAGAGTTTAGCCCAAGCTTCTGAGACACCAATTACACTGCAGCACTCAAGGACTGTCATCTGAATGTAAAGACAAATACTGTCCAGATAGCACATACCAGCTGCCAGTTCCTGTGTAGCAGGATACTCCCTCACCTTCTGTTTTAGGTTTCTGAAAGATTGTTTTCTTTTAAAATGGCAGGTTCCCTCCATTCCTCCTTCGCTGCTCACAGTGAGACATGTCATCTGATACTAATTTGTACTCGCTTTGTGTTTTGACTTAATTTGATTAATAACTATATCCTTTAATGGCAGTGTGACTTAACAATATGCTATTATGTTGGTGCACTGCACTTCGGCATCTAGAAGCCATTCATCTGCATCACAGCAACATTTTGAAACTAATTCAAAGTGGCATTTTTCTGTACCTCTTTACCACAGGGTAGAGGCCTGCTCTTCTACTGGAATTGCCAGCTAAGAGCTGCAGGCCAAATCTGGCTTGAATTTATCCAAAGACTCCTCTTAGTGCTCACATTCCAGGCTGGCTATCTATAGAATTGTTTCACCCCTTTTCTCACCCTTATCCTATTGATTGCCTTCTATGTCTTTTTTCTTCTTCCTTTTCTTTTTTCTCTTTCAATTCCCTCATGCATTCATTTTAGATATTTCAGAGTTTGTTAGAACAATACTCCGGACTGACAAACCCGTATCGATATGGTAAGAATTTACCAAGGAGCTTACAAACACACATTGCCATAAATAAATAAATAAGAATAATTTTGTGACAGAGACAGATAAAGGAGGATAAAAGAGAAAGGGAAAAAAAAAAAAAGAATTTATCACACCTCAAATTAAGTATAATTGAACTTTGCAGTGTCTTAAGACATAACACATGCTGCCTGGTGGATGGGATGAAACTAGTAAGTTTTGACATTGTGTGGGGAGGGAAGGAAATCCAATGAATTCCCAGCAGCTCCAGATAAACCTAGGAGAAGATATCAGTGCACAAAGTGTGTTTGTGTCATCAACACCAGTGGAGCAATTTGCAGATGAAAAGAGAAAGGCAAAGTTGATACAGGGCAGTTGAATACAGGGCAGTGGCATGTGGTATGTGTAATTCTGCTCGTGATGCACCTCCAAAAAGGGGAGGGAAAAAAAAGAAGGAAAAAAAAAGGGGGGGGGGGGGAGGAAGAGGATATCTAAGGAAATCCAGGAAGGTTTCAAGTTTTAGGAAATGCAGGAAACATGCAAGAGGAGCCAGTGCTTGGGAGGAAGAGGAGCACAGTCAGCTCAAGAAGGGATGTAGCAAAGCTGAACTTTCCTATTGCTGACAGGAGTCAGTAACAGCTGCTTAAGGTTCTTGCTCCTGTAAAAGAAAGCTTGAAACTAACACCCTTGGTGCCACAAAGCAAACCTGTACGGGCCTTGAGGCAATTAAAAAATCATACATAGTAAAAAAAAAAAGAAAAAAAAAGAAAAGAAAAGAAAAATAATTGCCCTTACCGTGGAAACAATGGCTGTAAAGTTTATACATGATGGTTTCCTTTGTATTAGACCAATGCTTGCCACATGCCAAAACATAAACCAGATTCCATAATATGTAGGTTTTTCATAATTTCCTCAGATTAGTTTTTTATTAATGCCTGTCAACAGCAAATGATAGGCATGTGTTGCATTAACAGCCGCTACAAGTCATGCCAGCCCTGACTTTGCTGTTGATCTAAAACCTAGAGGAAGCTTAAAAGCCCATTGATTGAAGCCCATTTGCATTAAATCCCAGAGGTTTTTACCTTCTCCCCTTTTTAAGCAACTATTAGTTGTTTTTACATTTTCACTAATAGTAGTCAATAATTACAGGGTTATTAACAATCATCTAGAATAAACAGAACTGATTATCTTCTCCAAGGTGTTTCAGCCATCCTTGGATATTTATAAACTTCCTGACTTAGATCATCTTTGAGAATTTTTTTTTTTTTTTTAATTTCTTCATGTGAACAGTAGAAAAGAACTCCCTGTCTCCAAGCCTCCACCCTCCAGTTCTCCTGTTAGCAATGTTCATAGAAAGGCAAAGTAAGAGAAGGAAAATAGACTGCATATCAGCAACAAGCATACCCTTTGTTCATACAAGACCCACACAAGCTCATAGCTTATACACTGAAAAAAGACTCAAAGCTTTTAATGCTCAATTTCTTAAACATTAGGAAAAGCAAGATTTACAGACTCTTAAAGGAAAATGAGACTGAAATATTTAAACTGGAAGCTACTTGTAAAACAGTCATTTCTAATTGGTGAAATAAAAGAGTTCAGAATTGCTTTTCCTAATAGGTAATGTTCCCATCATAAAATAAAAGTGCTGTAAAAATTTACTAAATTCTCACATTAAAAATGGACACACTATGTTCCTTAGTGTTCTTTTCACGTCGTCAGATAACCACAGAAGTCCCTAAAATTTAAACATCTCTCAGGCCAAAACAAATGAGTGATTGGAAAAAAGAAATCAACTCCTTGTAGGAGTATGTGGGTTTAGAAGAACATCCCAAACATTGATAACATGGCATTCAGAAAATGTATTAGTTAGGTCTACAGCTGTTGGCCTACTATTCAGCTAAGCTGTGTATTGCTCATATGCATTTCATGGCAGAAGCATTTCATGTCAATGAGTGGAAAGTCCATGGGAGTTTGGCCCAGGCTGTACAAGTGTAAAACAGGACTCCACTGTGTTGAGCTGCATATTTCTGGATTCAGATTAATTAACATTGCTGACACAAATCCAAGTTTTCAATGTATGTCCATCAACCTCAGAGGAATTCTATCCGAGGATGAGAACAGAATTGAGGCAAACAGATATGGGTCAGCTTTAGGAATGATCCATTATTTGTGTATGTGCCTCTCTTCATCAGACAATACATTTAATAAAAGAAAGGTTTTTTCCTACTCTGGTTATGAGGTTAGCTCAGTGCTCCACCACACATGGTGCACATGAGCAAAGGTGGCTGAGCAGGGCTATATAAGACTGAGAGATGAACAAAGCTCAGCAAGTTGAGCCTAGACTTTAGCTTCTCCTTCCCCTCTGCACAGAGCACTCCATTACAGCAAGACAGTCCCTATAGGCATTTATAATCATATATAGACTCAGACATATGGCACTAGCACCACCACCACCAAAAAAATCTGCAGAACAGCCACCTCTATTGATTGGTTGAGGCAAAATTCCTGAACCTACAGCAGGCAATAATTGATGGGATGAGAAATTTCCAGAAAGGCCACTTCTGCTGGGGTTTATGCTCAGTGTCAGCCATTTTATTGGCATTGAAAAATAATCTGGCCACCTAAGCCCATACAGTTTTGCCTTATGTGCAATCAAGGCCTGTACATTTTTTATTGCACTCAGTGTCCCACTCTGGAGGGAGAGGACTTCCCAAAATAAAACCTGACAGCTTACTCAGGAAAAGACTGAGTAAATAGATAGAGCCCTTGTGTTGCCTGAAGGTCAGCAAACCCAGGCTCCTCAATTAATGGCAGATGCAAATTCCAGCCTTTGCTCTGACAGCTTGCCCCCAGCCAAATCAGAGTGGCTGAGCTGCCACCCCTTCAGCTATCCTGCAGTATTAAGCATCTTTTCATCCAGTTTGGGATGGAGACAGCACTTGAGCTGTGCCCACACAGCACACAGAGGCATTTTGTCCTGGCAAGAGATTCCAGCTGCTTGTCAAAGCGAACTCCTTATTGGGTGGTAAAACAAAAAACAAAAAACAATCCAAAAAAAAAGAAATGCTTTTTACTATTATAAGAGAATCCAAAGGAACAGAAATGATGGTTTTTAACCCCAAACAGAAGCTATCCCCATGGCTGGCACTGCAGATATGCAGTTCTGCTTTGAGGATATTGGGATTCTGTTTGGAGATATCTGGGACTCCTTTGTTCCTGCTGTTGGTGGGTCAGTGGTCATTATTGTGAGAGGAGGCTGTTGGCCATTATTAGGAGATAGTGACCTGAATTTCCAGCAACCCTTCCTAATCAGTGGCCAAGATTTTGCAGCAGCTGTTTAATAATAGTTTGTCTAATAAAATATTCATATTATCATATATTTTCCATCTTAGAGGATGATCAGAATGTCATTTTAATATTTTCCCCCTACTAAAATAAAATTCTAATTAAAGCTAAAGATATATTGCCTACGGAAAGTTAAACTGTTTAAAATTATTAACTGCTTGAATACTTGTTGCTATACTACAAGCTGCTATAAAAGAAAAGAAATTAAGTACATGGGGGATTAACGCAATTTTGAAAGCTGCATTCCCCTCCCTCCTCCTTTTAGATACGCCTAACTGAGCCATAACTATTTTTCTCCACTCAGCCAGACTCCAGCTTTGTGGCTTTTTTAATAACCTGGCTTTTCAAGCTTGTGCCCCCGAGAGCCTTTTCATTTCTGCCGCACTACCTACAAGCAAATTTCTTCCAGTTGCTCAACAGCCTAATGCCTCCCTTTCTTCGTTGTTGAAGCATTTCATTGCAGTTTCATTGACTGGGAGGTGTTCTGTTACAGTGGAATCAATAGCTTAGGGCTTCCCAGCACACCGATTAGCTTGTCAGTCAGAGCCTGGGGGAGGTAGTGTAAATCCCAGAATACCAGGGGCCACCAGTTTGAAAACTAAGGAATGCGAGGAGCCCGCATGGGTTTTTCTACCACCTGTTGCTCTGCAACATGTGCAAAGTGTATTAACTTCTTTGCTGCTACATGCCTTAAAGGTCAACTGCGATAGAAGCTTTAAGCTTTTGGAATATTTTAATTCATTACAGGAATCAACTTTTAGCGATTTGCTACAAAGAGTGCCTTACAAAAGGCGTTTCTCTTCCGTGGTGAGGCTTTTTCTTGGGGTTTGTCGGTAGCTTTGCATTTGGCAACATGTTGGTACCTCTTTCAGCTTTATTTTATTTAAATAATCTGCTTTTTTTATTATGTAGGAATAGAACCAGTTTCCTCAGCAAACGTATTCCCTTCCACCATGAAGAGTGCCACTTTAGATGACCCAGACCATCAGAGGGGGGATATTTCTTCTCTTGCCAGTTTGTGTTGGAGGGGAATGAAATTATGAAGCATGAAGTCAGAAAACTTTTGCAGTCCACGTGCTGTCAGACCAGAGCATTCCCACCTCACTGCCACCTGACTCCAGCTTCTCCCATGGATGTCCAGAACTTCTCCCAGTGTCCCAGGGCCATCTGCTATCAGTCCAGAATGGCTCTGCATGTGGGACAGAGCTGAGGCTGGTCCCGCACAGCTAACTCACTTGGGTGCCTCAGCTGGGTTAAGCTGTGTCCTTTTGGCCAGCCAAGATGATGCACAGCTGTATATTTTTAATACCTCTGGTCAGACGTGGTGAGCCAGCCATGGTTCTCTGTACCAGCCCCTATGTAACTAAATGCTGTCTGTTGGAAGTGCTTGAACTCTAAAAAAATACATGTAACCCAAACTCCTCCGAATGCAGCCATTAAAAACAGAGGCACGGGCCCTCCGAGCCAACCTAAGGAAACCTTATTACAGACATTTATTATCCAAAAAACGTCACACATGACCACAAAAGGAAATTCTGTGCTTAGAGCATAAAAGCCTGTGCTTTGGAAAGGTTTTGCTGTCACCACATTTGGGTTTGCTCACAAAACCTCTACAAACTCGCCACAAACCACAAAGTAAACGTGCACAGTGCAAATTGTGCTTATTAACATAATTCCACAAAATTAACTCAATGGGCTGTTTCTTTATTAATTTTGTTTTAAGAGAATGGCACTGGGATTTTCTGACTATTAGCATAAACAACAGCTGGAAGCTCGAGGCTGTCCAAGTGGATTTCTAAGTTTGTATTGAAAATATTAATCTTTTCAATAGAGAATAATCTCAGACTTCTGTCATTCCAAAGGCAAGGAATGAAAAGAGTTTACATCAATTTAAAGACCCTTAGTGAAATGCCCTCCACTTTAGAGTGAAGAAAGAATCCAAATTGATCTTCTAGCTTGTTTCCTTTAGCTGACAGGCATAAGCCTACTTTTATTTTAAAATATAAATGTTTCCTGTTCTTTTAAGTGTGTTGCTCCAGACATTTAGTTGTTTAAGCAACATAGCAGAGGCACACAACCAAACTTTCTGTCGTACTGTAGACCACACACCTCCTATACACCTTGTAATTAATAATCCTGAGAATGTCCATAACGAATCAATGTTTTTCCCTCCCCTCTTCCCACTACTGGAAGTGCTGTTAATTCAGCAAAATTAGCAGCCTTGTGTTGTCAGAGCAAATCACTCCCACTCCTCTATGAATGTGGTTACTCAGCAAGAGTGCATGTTCACAATTTCGGGGATGTTTTTTCTTTCTGTTTCCATCTTTCACTTTGCTCCCTCCCCCTCCACGCGTTGCAGTTGTGAACATCTGATATGGGTAGAAAGGCACTGCGTGTTTACTTAAATTCAACCTTTCACTGCAGAAAAGCACTCTATGCCTCGGCACTTCTGTCACCAAAAACCCTGCCTCGTGTCGAATCAAAGTGCTCGCAATAAAACCACGCCGTCGTATATCATCTCCCCCATTTTACCCAGTAAATGTAATCAATTATTTCTTTACCTTGCACTTTACAGACAGTTACCTCAGGCAGCTGAAAGCAGCTCTGCTGCTTGTAACCACTTGAAGCTTCTGTCATCGGAAGGGGATTACCCTGTGGTACTTATTGCACACGTGCACGCGCACACTCACACATGCACTCATTATACTCCAGGCAGGAATGTGAGCCCGCCCGGCCACAAGCCATCAGCACTGGCTTGGGCAGCAGCAGACCCGCAGGCCGTGTGGGACCCAGGCAGCACTGACCAAGAGGTTCGTCCTGCAGATATCATGTTTCAGTGCAGATAAAGGCTTCCTCTTAGAGGCAGGCTGGAAAAGAAGTTACCATGTATCATGGTTGTGTATGTGTATGTTCACTTTTGTCCTGCTAATGTCCAAGCTGTGGTAAAAGTGAATAAAGCAGTAAATTCCCTCACAGGCTGTTTGGGAAAACATACCCCAGCCAGGGAAAAGAAAAAGAGAAAGGGGTCATTCATAAGTAAAGTGATATTGCCTTTCTGACATATTATTTTTTCAAATTATCACTATTTATAAAACTCATGAATTAATTCATGAACAAAAGCTATAAAATATTCATGAGTTTTCTACAGACATGGAAGTTTTGGCTAAACATAAAATTACATATGCAGAATATACTCACACAAACAAAAACAAGTATAGGAAGAGAGATATTTGTCACTTACATCCAGCCTAAGAACTTAATAGTAAGTCCTGCAGACATCTGTATTCCTCTATGGTGAATTGGGATAGACTCTAGGGGCACGATGTCCAAATGTCTGTGGGTGTCCAAGCACAACCAACACAAAACATATCTTCACATCAAGTTGTTTGCTAACAGAACAAATTTCCTATCTCATACCTACTCTCTCTGCCCCTATATCTGTTGTTTTCTCTAGCATTGTGCAAACAACGGATGCACTGAAAAAACTGTCTCTGTTAATCATAGCTGCATAAGCTAGGTTATACTTTTCATATCCAAATCAACACCTACAGCCATCATTACTTCATGTGTTTGGATTCTGTCCTAACTGGCAGTAAAAGCTGTCATTAGGAGCAGGAAACAGTATGAAAGACCTTTCACGGCCTCTTTCAGCATGCAATGTCATCTGTTACCATGGGTTGTATAGTACTGATGGCTATAAATGCCACTATGAATGATGCAATCTCATATGTGATGATGAACTTGAAAAAACCTTTGTTGAATTTGTGCTTAAGGTGCTCATATTCCGGTTATTCATGAGCATCCAAAATGTTGATCACCAGCCGGGTGTTTCAGCAGCCCCAGTGGCAATGCTACAAAACTCCCCTGCAGCCCTTCCTGTAAAAGATGGCACAAATAAACTCACTTTATAGATTCCATGAGAGTTATTTGTCAGACATGTCAGCTGCAGCTCATTTCCTAAATTCCGTAACGTTTCCTGGCGGAAGGGCTTAGAAATAAAATTTGCAGTTTGTCTTTCCTTTTTTTTTTCCTTTATATTTAATGACCACATTTCTCTGAAGAGTTCTCCTTCAAGCAGTTTGTTCAGATGTATCTATAAATACATTTTGGATACCGAATTGCTCCTGTATGCAAGCTAGTTTGTCTGTCAGGAGTAAAGCAATTTATTTCCCGAACTGTAGGTGTGAGGCAAAGAATTAGGTGTTCCCAAAAGGGGGGGATGTGGAAAACTAGCCAGTGCTCTGCATGGTTCCAAGGGATGTTGTGGGAAGTTCCCACTGGCGGCTGCCAATGGCTCTCCATCACAAGCAGCTGCAACCTTTCCTACCGGCTGTCAATCACACCATTTTGTGCAGTGATTCTGCACTCCGACAAAATATCCCCACCATAGGCTATGATGAACTCATCAAATATATTCTTTCCTGTAAATTGGTGGAACTTGAGCCTTGCTCTCTAAAGGCAAAAATGTCAAGTTTTAACTCACAGCAAACTAAAGTTCAATGGTGTTGAATTTGCTTCTTTCAGAAACAGAGAAGCTTATTGGTCCTCTTCAGGGTGTGTTCACCAGCCTGAATGACAAGCACTGAGGCCTTCCATTATGGAACAAAGTTGTAATCGTCATTATAGCTCTATGACTAAATTTACTTGACAGTTCCAAAGGATTTTGAAGTAAAAAGTATCAAAACAGGAATTTAAAAGATCAGAAACTCAAGTCACCAGCATCAGAATAGTGAACGAGGCTGAAAAAGCTGAACTATGCTGCAGAGCAAACAGAGCATTTAGCTAACAGAAACATGAAAGAAAGTAAGAGCTCAGGCACTTTGCGCTTCCTGATACACATATTGTGAACTTAAGGAGGATTATTATGGTCCATAAGATCTAGAGTCAAACAAGACTTTCATCATCAGCTTTGGAGCTCCCAGGTCCTATTAACTCTTAACCAGAAGAAAATCTTTCATAAGAGTCTCTAATATTGTGATAAATATAGAAATTTATAATCTCATTTTATCTTGTGCAAGTCATATGGGATATAGGTAGATAGAAAACTGCAGTAATTTCTAAATTGCCTTTATTTTTTCTAACTAAAATCACCGAGAACATCTAAGAATATATCAAAATGAACTATACACACAATAGTAATATGGGGATAGTTTGGAATAGTAGACTAACTTTGTTGAATATGTGGGAAATTGTAAGAAAGAAAGCCAGGGCATAGCAAACAATAAATAAGTAAGTAACATGGAAAATGATAATACAGGAGAAAGCTGAAGCTTAGGATGGTGAATAATTGGAAAACCATCAAGAAATAAACAGCAAAACGGCACAGGCAAAAACAGCTTCAACTATCACATATTAAACTTAGCAAAATGGGAGGGTTAATTGTTCTTTGTATGCCTCTATTTACATAAAACACGTTACAAATATTCATTAGTGATGAAGTAAGCATTAAAGATGTGAGGGGACTGCTAGGATGCAAGCATCCATTGCCATCAGCCCAGGGCTGTCCCCAGGAAGGCTCTGCAGGCTTAGGGATCTCTTGGCACTGGAGGCACCCAGGACATTTACCAGCAGTGGTGACTTGGAATAGTTGGCTTGAGTCCTTCTGAAGTCAAACATTAAAAGCCTCAACTCTGCACACCACCTAAGTAAGCACAACTTCACCTCTTCCTATGTGCTAAATGCAATAACACAGTAGTTTTTTAGAGTCTTTACACTGGTTAAGCTACATCTTGGCTATAATTCTCTAGCTTTGGAAACATCCCATCCTTCTCTTCATTTCCTCACCAAATAAGCAATGTTCACCTTCTTTCTTCCTCTTACCCCACGTACAAAGAGCTCATGAAAGAAGCAGATCCACACGAATTTTTTAAAGCACGCTGCATATGCTCGCCCAGAAAGACAAGAGATTTTGCTGTCAAAACCTGGGGCTATGCAGAGTAAAATAATAAAAAGATTAGCGGAGAGGAGTTTTTCAGGTTCAGAACCAGAGCCTTGTAACGAGGATAGCCCCTTTTGTTCTCCATCTCTTTTAACTTTCTTTTTCCCTCGTAACAGTTGCCCGGTGGTTATGAAGAGCTCCAGTCCTGCATTTCAACTAAGGGGCCCTTCTTTATTCTCTCAGAAGAGGGCTGTCTCAAGAGCACCATGCTAAAGTGCTAAGTTATCATCAGGCTGGGGCTTTCGTGCAACTGTTTGTGTGTGTGTGAAACAAGCTCTCAACATGTTAGTAAGAAGCCTTTAACCCAGATTACGCCACCTCTCTTTCTATAGTGTTCTTTTAGGGCAGAGTGTGAAAGGTCACCCTCTCAGGCTGGATAGCGGTACTCAACCAATTACAGTGCACCAGTGTTTCCACAAAAGAGAGTTTCGAGCCCATGGCTACAAAAGATTTTACGTGTCTGATTTTCAAAAACACAATTACAAAAGGAGGAGGCTCGCTTATGTCTATTTTGGGCCCTGAATGATTTTTTTGTTTAGCTAGAAGAAAAAAAATTCAGTTCTCCTTCTCCAAAGAGGCCTGAAAAATGTGGCCAGCCCAGCTCCTACTATTTAAAGAGCAAAACCTCTAATCCCTCAGGTTCAAGTAGGTGTGATTCAGGAGTCCTGTAGCTGCCAGAATAATAGGATGGGTTATCTGAGAATATGAGTAGGCCGGCTTTATGAAAACAATATTTGCAGCAAGTTGTATAATGACTTTGAATTACACCTTGCATCTGCCTCCCTGTTCCGCTCTCCATTCCTGACACATTGAATACTGTGAATTTCTTTTGCACAGGTACGTTTTCAGACTGAATTCTCTGACTAAAGTTTCATCGTTATTCTAAATGTAAAGTCTTCAGAAGTACATGTGAGAACGAGCCAGCAGCCTGTGTCCTTCTGCAGTGGAGCTGCTGAACTCAATGCAATGACATTCGTGTTACTCATTGTGCATCTCAACAGGAGCTCACTGCAAATGTGGCGGGAGGAATCCTTCCCTGAGCATTAGCCATCTTAGAAGTCCTAAGGCAGAGAGCTCTCCATTTAATCTGGAGACCTGGATCCTTCCTTTTCTCTGTGTACCTAAAGGTCTCTCATTAGTTAGGGAAAAAAATCTCAGTGCTTTTAAATTGTGCACCTGAGTATTCAAAAGACAGAGGATTTAGGCCATCAGCTCTTCCTAGTTAATTCTCAGGGAAAGCTCCATGCTTTCAGCTTAATTGTTAAATCAAATAACATCACAGGGAATCCATCAAAACTATCTAGGAGTGTTGGGTACGTACTGCAATCAAGTTACAAGGGCAACCTAGACAACCTCAACCTGAAAGTCTCATTATTTCTAGCACGTCCATCACATTGGCACCTCAGATGCCTGTGTTTAGGAATTTCTATATTTCTCACTAAAAAAAGAGGTACATTTTCTACTCTCCTTCTTCTCAACCCCTGGAAAACCTATTAAACCCACTGAAAATGAGAGTCTTTTGTAGGGGCAGGTAACAGCTAGAGGGATTGAATAAAGCAAGGTTCCAGAATCAGCAGTAAAATATTCCTGGAATCAGAAGCTGTTAATGAGTTGCTGCAATAGCACACGTTTGAAAAAATTAGGACAGGAAGAGAATGTTTTATCATGGACCATGTAGAAGACC